AAAAAAAAAAAATTGCCACGTGTCGACCATTGGAATGGTAAAAAATGGACACATGTCGACGTTTGAAGCTCTCTAACTTTCCCATATAAGATATAAGGAGATATGTATATTTTGGTACAATAAAAAATGATTGATAGAATTTATAGGAGCCGTATTTACTAATCAAAGAGTATAGATGCTGAGCATGTTGGTCATAAATAGATTTTATAAATTTAGTTAAATTATATTATTATAATATAATAGATTTAAAAATATTAGAAAATAGTATTGACATTTGTTAAAAGTTTCCCATTATATTATACACTAAAAAAGAGTAAATATGTCACATATGTGTGAAAATAGTAACAAAATCGACTATGGTAAAATAATATAAGTAATTTTAGTATTATATATTAACAAATTAAAAAAAATAAGTAACTTTATTTAATTGTTCTTTATCTTATTTATGTTTTTTTTTTTTTTGGTGCAGGGACCTTCCGGTTTCTGGATCCACAAGGGAACCGACTAATCCGGAATCGAGCCGGGTAGGACTACAAGGGCGGCAAAGCTCTCCCTCAAGAGTTTTAACACTGCTGCATTCCCAGGGCTCGAACACAAGATCGCTGGTTAAGCTGGAAGAGACCCAAGTCATTTCATCCAAGCGCTCTTGGGTTTTATCTTATTTATGTTAACATAAATAACCCGTTAACTTACAAGCTAACAATCGGTTAAACGGTTTAGGTATAAAAAGAAAAATGTTAACTTAAGTGGGCTGGGAAATAAACGGACCGAATTAGGGGCCCTCTGTTAGGAGAACTCATCATCGTCTCTCATATCCGTGAAATCATCTTCTTTAGAAACACTCGGCAAAGAGTGAGATTTTGGTGCGTCTCTACGAGTGCCCCCACGTGATCCGGTGCCTTGGCTAGCTACCACACCACACAAGATTATGAGGGCCGGTTGGTTTTTAATCTGCTAAGGAGTATGCATTCGGCTGGTCTTGCTCGACTGGATTCAGAAATCGGGAGGCGGGCTGCCCGAAATGGAGGTGAGCACGCACACGAGGTCTACCCCGAGTCTCCGTCACATTCACGGCCTCGACTATGTGCACTGCGCCTTGAAGCCCGACAACGTGCTGCTCGTGGCCGACGACGTTGACGAAGACTTATTCACGGCCAAAGTAAGTGATTTTGGCCTTTCAGAAGAGAGGGGGACGGTACCGCATCCGAGTAGTACGGCTGCGTATTTGTCGCCTGAGGCCACGTTGTTCGGGAGGCGGGAGGAGCCTTCTGATCATGTGGTTGATTGGATTAGGGGCCTTCTGTTAGGAGAAGAGAGCTACGAACGTGTTTACAAGGCCACTCTCATTAATTCAACATCTCTCATAGCCATAGCCGTCAAAACATCTCTTTCAGAAACACTCGGCAAAGAGTTTGAGATTTTGGTGCGCCTCTACGAGTGCCTCCACGTGATCCGGTGCCTTGGCTACCACACCACACAAGTTATGAGGTCCGGTTGGCTTCTAACCATGCTAAATGTGAAGAGAGGCGACTTAAGATGTGTAAGATAGGTTGGAGGAGAGAGTAACTCAACCCAGCTAGGAGGTCTTGGAACAAATGATCTAATGTGAGACCTTAAACCCGTCGTCACTGTATGTATCATTGCCAGCTAGAATTACTCATAGAAAGGGTGCTGGAGCAATCCAATAACCAACACACCAGATAAATATAACACGACCTTCAAACAAAGAAGATGCCACAAAACCAATAAATACGAGTTCTAACTAAATTTGCTGCAGATTAATCGCTGGAGGTAGGAGCAACCGAGCTCTTGACATAAGGGAAAAACTGCGCAAACCCTCTTCTATCGATAGGGATCCAGAAATTCTCTAGCCGTCTAGTAGCAAGATCATAAAGCATCAAGTCACCTTTGGAGTCCTCATAAAACAATTTATCATTGTTGTAGAGGTTCAGAACCAGACGAGGAGCAGCAGCTGCATGGATATCGAATGTCGACACAAGGGACCAGAAGCTGCCTCGCGCATTCCAATCCCAAATCTCAAAGAAAAAAGGATTGACCCCGGACTCGAAACAAATAGCCGCAAGAGAGCTCTGAAACTCAACTAGAGCAACTCTAATCAAACTCCACACCTTTTCCTTCTTGGGTAGAGGGATAAGAGCATGAAATTGTTCATTAGCAAAGTCGAACGACATAATGGAGAAACTGTCACACACCCTTGAAATATCCAATAGTAGAAGCCATTAATGTGAACTGAAAGGAACCCACTGAACCTCAAGTGGAAGTCATAAGGACAGTGAACCGCCCTCCACGAACTAGATCCCTCGGAAAACACCTCAGCGTAGTTTTCTAGAATGCGGTCCACCCAACATCTGACCAGCTTATAGTGCCCAGATGAAGGATCAAATCCAAAGCCGAAAGCCCACATGCTATCAAGAATGTTTAAGAAAACCGAGGGCTCGGGCGAACAGAGGAATCTACACGTATCTGTCTGCATGTCCCACAGAAGATCCTGTACCCAGGACGTGGAACCAAATTGCAAATATTCCAACCAAATCTATGAGCCGCAACATCCAAGAACGTCACAGTAGTAGTTTCCATTAAATCTGAGTAGAGACAATAAGTTGCGAGGAAGATCCTCATCATCCTCGTCTAATAGTTTGAAAGAGTTGCCTTCGGTTGAGATTACACAGAAATCCAAGGTTTGCTTGGGTTGGTTCCTCACCAGGAATTTGAAGTTGAGCTGAGCATTAGCGGATTGCATCAATTTCGATTCAAGAGCTTTGCTACTGTCTGAACATTTGAATTGGGATTTGGATTTGGCAGATAGATTGGAGATGTTTAAGAAGGATCCCACTACTAAAGAAGAACGGTTCGCCATTCTCTATCTCTCGATATCTCTGACAAAAATTGAGCGCAAACCCGCGACTTCCAATTTATCGTACTTTTTTGTGATACTGGGACCTTCCGGTTTCTGGATACACAGGGGAACCGAATAATCCGGAATCGAGCCAGGTAGGACCACAAGGGCGCCAAAGCTCTCCAATTTATCGTACTTTAATTCCTTCTTACGTTAAGATTAGACAATTCTGGTTGATTTTGCTATTTATTGCCCCAAAATATATATATATATATATATATATATATATATATAGAATTAGGATCAAATGAGAAAGGAAGACTATGAAAGAAATGAGAATGAATTTGCACCATAGGATCTCGCGTTTTAACGGTGTAGATGGAGTCAGCATATTTTGAATTAACGGTGGCATAATCGTAAATAGCGTTGAATAATGAGGCAATACATATGGTCAGGAGGGCAATATGGTAAAATACAGATTGACATCCTACAAGGCAAGTGGGCCCCACGCACCATCTCTCTCCCCACTCATTATCTTTCCTCTCTCTCTCCCCACTCATTAATTCCTCTCTCTGTTACGCAACATCTTCCCACAAACACACTCTTCTCACCATCATCTTCACCAGCAGACGGCGTGTTGCCGCCAGTGTCTCCACCGCGCCTCCACCTTGTCTCCACCGCGCCTCCGCCACGCATCCGCCACACGACGCACACATATGAAACACACGCCAATACACACAAGCTCGTTGGAGCCGTCGATGGACCTCAGCCGCTCCGCCACCGGACCTCAATCGCGCCGCCGCCGCAAGCATCGACGGTCACATCGCCACTGAGACCAGCACGTTGCCTTCTATCTGAATAACTCCATATTCTGGCACTGTACGTGGCCCGCGTGGTCGACCTGTCTCGGTGCCTGTGTAGTCGTCCTATTCCGGTGGCCATTTATCGCTGCCCCACCGTCTCGTCGAGTCGGCACAGCCATTCCTGTCTCCGTACAAAGACGGCGACAATCCGTGAAGATAAATGCGAATCTGCAATTATTATTATTATTATTATTATTTTTTTGTGCAGTGACCTTGCTGGGGCGGCGATAGGTGTTGGGAAAAAAAACGGCGGATAGGCGACCATAGCAACGGTGACGAACGTCGGGAGTGAGCTCCGGCAGAGGTGAACGGAGGTGGCCGATTGAAAATGTGGTTTGGAATTGTGGGGTTTCATTTTGGGAATTTGATATGTTATAGGGGTTTGATTGTAATTATATGAAGTTTCATTTATTTCAATTCAATACTTGAGGCAAATTTGTAATGTAGCAAAAGTTTTAGTTAATGCACAATATGTCATGTTTTATTATAAATCTTTATATTTAACTTGTTGATTAACTGAAATAACCAAAATAATTAAAATAAATTATATTAATTAATATAAATCAATGTTTAATATTTAATATTATATATTATGTTTCGTTTTAAAAAAATATATTATGTAAACGGAATATATTGTGCAATCTAATAGTTATTAATGTGCAATTCGTCCAATAATATAGTGCACGGTGACAGTTGTAATGTACAGCAACCGAACATTTTCTCACATATCGAGTTGAAAATGAATATAATAAGTCGATTTATTTGGTTCGGCTACTCGAATTATCCTAAACAATCGAATATTTTTGTTATTTATATTAAATTTATATTTATTATGTTATAATTTTATTTATTATTATATTATTTTTGATTGAAAAAAATCGAGTTCAGCCGATTTTGATCTATATTGTGCAATCTAATAACTGTGATAAAGTGCAGCGTGTTGATTTGTAAAGTGCAACGTATTATTTTATAAAGTGCAACGTTTTGAGTTATAACGTGCATTATTCTGTTTTTATAACTAGAAAAGGAATAGTTGAACTGAATATAAAATTTCGAACCAAACAGTTTAGTTGGTAGATTTTTAATATTGTACAACCATAGTAATTAATATGCAATCAATATAATTATAACGTGCATTTGCCGAACATAAAATATATAAAATGATAATAATAATATTTTTTAAATAACTCCACACTTTCAATTTTGATCGAAATAATTAAAATGTATAAATTCTAAAATTATCGAAACAACTTTATTTCAGCTTAATTATCAAAGTCAAGCTAAGATAAATTTTAAAAATAATCGAATATATAAGAACAAACACAAATATTATAATTATTTCAGTTCTGATCTCTAATGTATGGTCTGACACATACAAAAGTGCAGTGTTTCAGTCGCTAATGTGCAGTCTGCCATACATTTATTATTAATTTTATATTATTTTAATATTTTATATTATTGTTATTTTTATTATTATTAAAAATGTACCAACATATAATTTAGTGCAATCTCTTGAGAACAAATAACCGGACCGACATATAAAAAAAGCTCGAATAAAAAAATTTAGTGCAATCTCACGAGAACAAAAGTGCAGCATGTCAATCGTTAAAGTGCAATTTGTCAAACCCTACTATTTACGGTTTTCTCATTTATTGTACAGTGTGAAAGGATCGAACTTTTCTCCAACCAAATTAAAACCTAATACTAATGTGCATTTCAATTTTAAAAATTTGTAATAATATTTATTTCAATAAAAATAATGTGTACTTTTCAAATTATTTATATAACAAAAATATATTTGCTATTTATATTTTCTACATAATATTTTATTTTATTGCTTTTTTCAAAATACTTAATATATATTTATATATATGTATACACCTATAATATAAATGACATTAAATATGATATTTTTTAAATTAACTTACAAAAATCCTCAACCCACTAACCTATTACACCTATTAAATTGTAATATTTAATACATGTGTAGTTCAAATTTTCTATATTGCAAACAAGTCCCTTTAAATTGTCTAATTCAAGAAAAAAGCCCCAAAAAAATTTCCACCTCCAAAAAACTGAAATTGTGATATTCACAGTCCTAATTTCTGAGATGGACAGAGATGGCGGTGGGAAGAGCAGGTATGGCCGTGTCGCCGGGCATATTGGATGAAGATGAACAACCGTGGACTACCTATCACCACTGCGCTGAACCAAAAACCGCTAATCGAGCTGTTATAGGCGACGGTATTATTGTGTTAGACAACGACGCCGGCGGGAGGCGGAAAATGGAGCGTGTCAGTGGCAGGACATGGGGGAGCACGGTGGAGGTCGAGCAGAGAGAGGAAGGCGCGGCGGTGGACATGGTGGCGAACGTAGCTTCCGGCCTCCGCGACGGAAATCTAGCGGACAGCCGGACAGGTATCGCTGGAAAGTTGGCCGCCGGAAAAGCTGGAAGCGACGGCGAGACGAACATCATCATTGCGGAGCTCACCACTTCCGGCGGCGGGGTGGCATACGGCGGACTGTGGTTGCGGACGTCGGATAGGCGCGATTCTGGTGGGATTCTTGGCGACGATGCTGTCGTGGTGTCCGTCTGTCAAGGTGCCGAGCCTGCCGACGGAACTGTGCGTGACTGTGTGGGATGTGTGTGTGTGACGGGGGTGTGTGAGTGAGAGAGAGAAATACTGAATAATGATGAGAGAGAAAGAAAGTTAATGAGGGAGATGGAGGGGTGAGTGACGTGTCGCGGAAGTTGGGGTGTAGTGTGTATGGGTCCACTGTAATTTTTATGTTGTCAATTACCACCTTACCCTTAATGAATGTATAATT